CTAGGTAAGATGACACACATAGATACGTACACCACAATCCCAGAACGCCTACACCCAGGACTAAGCGCGGACACAGACACACAGACACACAGACACGGGCACGGACGGACATATACGGACACAGACACGACAGATATATATGAAGACACAGTACAGAGACATACAGACACACACAGACACACGGAGCACACACAGAGACACACAGACACACGGAGCACACACAGACATCACACAGACACACACAGGCACACAGAGACAGACACACAGAGACTGTGCAGACAGACACACACAGACACACACAGATTTGCACACACAGCTGAGACATATACGAACTGATGACATGTGATATATACAGACACATTACAGACACACACAGACACAAACAGACAGGTAATCAGTATACCAAACAGGCCAGTCACGTTTAGACAAAACAAAACAGAACTTCTACTTTTACACCAACTTGGAGACAGGAATAAACAGCTTGTCGACCATCTACCTATTTTTTACATCTGAAGCTTGGAGTTTAAAACACTTTTATTTACGCCATTCTAAGAGTAGTAACCTAACCTAACTAATCCAGGATAACTTCAACATAATCTCTGTAACTCTATCTACTAACATAACTCAATCATAACATAACCTAACCTAACCTAACCGTAACTCTATCCTAACACGATGTAATAGATCTGTGTGTGTGGAATAAGAGAGAGAGAGAGAGAGAGATGAGCTCCTTGGTTGAGGTGAGGAAGTGTAATAATGATAGTATTAAGAGGATTTGGAGATGAAGGAGAGGCAGGGATGATAGGAAGGAGGGAAGGAGGTGAGGGAGGGTGAGGAGGTGAAGGAGGAGTAGGGAATGAGTGTAAATGAAGCATCCTATATCATCTAACACTTCTCTTCCCACTCCACCACTCTCCATCTACACCACCCCACCCACCACTCCCACTCCACCACACCCACTCCACCACACCACTCCACCACACCCACCCACCACACCACTCCACCACATCCCACCCACCACTACCTCCACACACCCCACTTCCCCACACTTCCACCACACTCCCCACTACCACCACTTCCACCACACTTACTTCCACCACACCCCTCCACCACTCCCCTCCACCACACCCCTCCACCACACCCCACTCCACCACACCCCACTCCACCACACCCCTCCACCACATCCTCCACCACCCCGCTCACCACACCCCACTCCACCACACCCCACTCACACCCCACTCCCACCACACCCCCTCCACCACACCCTCCACCACCCCCACTCCACCACTCCCCCTCCACCACCCCTTCCACCACCCCACTCCACCACCCCTCCCACCACTCCCCACTCCACCACACCCCTCCACCACACCCCACACCCACCACACCCCACTCCACCACACCCCACTCCACCACACCCCACTCCACGAAAGTCAAATGCATCTCGCCAAGTGTTTATATAAGCACTTACGAGGCAGTAGGACCGACCTCTCAAGAGCTTCCCAGAACACTTTAAATTCTGAAGCTAAATTTGTAGACGTTTTGTGTGCGTTTGTTTTTTTCTTTACAATGTTGAATGTTTGTGAGGAATTGGATTAACTTCGTGTGTGTGTATTTGTTTGAATGTGTTTGTTTTTTGTTTATTTTTGAGATTATGTATGTGTGTGTGTGTGTGCGTGTGTGTGTGTCAAATGATATCCCCACTTAAAAGGACCTGTACTAATTGGCTCCAGTCCTAATAGATCCCAGTACTAATAGATCCCAATCCTAATAGGTTAGGTTAGGTTAGGCGAGGCTAGGCTTGGTTAGGTTAGGTTAGGTTAGGTTAGGTTAGGTGACCCCTGACTGGTGTACAGGTCACTTAATACTCCCCTCCCGTGTGTTGTTTTATGAAGGACTAAACCAATTGTAACCTCGTGGATTTGTCATGTTCTATCTCTCACGCTCTGTCTCTCTTCTTCCTTTTAACTCTTTATTTATCTTTCTGTTTTCTCTCTCTCTCTCTCTCTCTCTCTCTCTCTCTCTCTCTCTCTCGTTTCGTCATGGTGAGCAAGTTTAGTTCACAGATATAAGAACGATTGGCACAGATAACCACAAGTATATAATAACAATACTATCACGTACACAACTGCTAGACTGACAATATGACCAATAATTTATATTTTGTACCAGTATATTCTATTAAAACAAGTGTGTGGGGAGACGGTATACCAAGATGTAGCGATACACTGTAGAATAATATATCAAAGCATTTCGTCCAGTGTTACAAATTGGGGAATGGAATAACAGATGTAACTTATAGGGTCATACCTGTATATTCTCACCTGTCATACACAAGAGTACAAATTGAGTGTGGTGATGGTGAGGTGTGGCTATTATATTGTGAGTAGTGTGACGCTGTTATGGTGGTGGTGGTGTGACACTGTTATGTTGTGGTGGTGAGGGTGTGACGCTGTTATGTGGTGAGTGGTGAGGGTGTGACGCTGTTGTATGTGGTGGTGGTGTGGGTGTGACGCTGTTATGTGGTGGTGGTGTGACGCTGTTATGTGTGGTGGTGGTGAGGGTGTGACTTGCTGTTATGTTGTGGTGGTGAGGGTGTGACGCTGTTATGTGGTGGTGGTGTGGCTTTGTTATGTGGTGGTGGTGAGGGGTGTGGCATTATTATGTGGTGGTGGTGAGGGTGTGACGCTGTTATGTGGTGGTGGTGTGCTGTTATGTGAGGGTGGTGAGGTGAGGGTGTGACTGACCTGTGGTGGTGGTGAGGGTGTGAACTTGCTTTGTTATGTGGTGGTGGTGAGGTGTGACACTGTTATTGGTGGTGGTGTGGGTGTGACACTGTTTATGTGGTGGTGGTGAGGTGTGACGCTGTTATGTGGTGTGGTGGTGTGGGGTGTGACGCTGTTATGTGGTGGTGGTGGTGTGACGCTGTTATGTGGTGGTGGTGAGGGTGTGACGCTGTTATGTGGTGGTGGTGTGACGCTGTTATGTGGTGGTGGTGAGGGTGTGACGCTGTTATGTGGTGGTGGTGGTGTGACGCTGTTGTGGGGTGGTGTGGCTGTTATGTGGTGGTGGTGGTGTGGCTGTTGTGGTGGTGTGAGGGTGTGACGCTGTTATGTGGTGGTGGTGAGGTGTGACGCTGTTATGTGGTGGTGGTATTAACCACTAAATCCACAGGTATTAAAACACTAAATCCACAGGTATTAACCACTAAATCCACATGTTTAACCACTAAATCAAGAGGTATTAACCACTAAATCCACATGTATTAACTACTAAACTAAATCCACATGTATTATCTACTAAATTCTACAGGCATTAACCAATAAACTACAGGTATAAACCACTTACTAAACAGGTATTGACCACTAATTAACAGGTAACAGCCACTTACTTTGCAGAGTGACAAAGTGGAGACGTAGGTAACAAGAAGAATTAAGTGGCAGGACGAACATACACAGACTGAACACCCGTAGTGTTGCTCCAGCCAGGCAGGGGAGTAGAGGCCGTAGGTAACACACTGGTAAAACTCCTTAGTGGACCACGCACTACATGGGAACACCATGCCTGTAGGAGGAAGATTAGGTGTGTTTTAGTATTGTCGGGGGAGGGATGTGTTTGTGTGGATGAGGAAGGTGAGGGTGTTTATATGTGGGTGTGTGTGTGTGGTGTTGAGGAAGGTCAGGGTGTTCGTGTGTGTAAATGTGTGAGACAGACAGACAGACAGACAGACAGACAGATATTTATAGACTCACCTCATGAAGGAAGAGAGAGAGAGAGAGAGAGAGAGAGAGAGAGAGAGAGAGAGAGAGAGAGAGAGAGAGAGACGAATATACAGATGCAAAACAAAGACAAGAATAAAAACAGACAGATACAACAGGACACAATCAGACGGGCAAACTACAGACAGAATTTCCTGTATAAAATAATTTTCCTCGTTGCCTGAACTCGACAAATTGGTCCTCATAAACAACAGACCAGGTGAG